AAAAGGTACTTCTTGAATTGCTCTATTAACTTGACAACTTCATAAGGTTCCTACTATGTAAATAACCAAATCTTAAAACTGCAAAACAACTAAAAAGTTCCATACCCAAATTCTTCCATTTCCCACTTTGACTCTTTTAACCACTACATGAAGTTGCAGATAATTTTCTTCCAATGGTCAGTCTTTGTCATTTGCTTTGTGTCTGGTGTACCCTTGGTACCCAGGACTAAGGTCAGATGCTCCGGACCCTTATGTTGATCCTCATGAAATCTTTATATTATTTAATGGGATGTCCAGAAGTTTGATTTGTTTCTGTAATTAAAAAAAAAAACTTAGCTGTTATTCTCCTTCATGATTCTCATTTGTGAATCATGACCCAGTTTTGTAAAAAATGTGCTGATAAAATAATAGCCTTCCACTGATGTTGACTGTTTTGGGATACTTCATCTGTTGAAAGAAACACGTGTTTATTAGTCTACATAGCCTAGATTATACTCAACAACGACCCTGCAATCTCTGTAGCTTAATATAAAAGTTGATATATAAATATAAAAGTTTATATATTATATATATTTATATATTTAAGCATATATATCTCTATCTATCTATATATATGTGTGTGTGTGTGTGTTTATTTTTTCACTCAAGCTATATGTCCAGTGTAGGTTAATGAAGGGTTCTGCTCAGTTATCAGGGTCCCAAGGTAATGAAGGCTGCATTATCTGTAGCTGTACTACCTGGAGTACTTGGCCTTCTTATTGCTGTGACGGGAGAAGACAGCTGTAGTGTAATACTGGCTCTTTTGTGCTTTGGTTGAAAATGACACAAATTACTTCTACTACAGCTCCACAAAGGAGCTGGAAATATTGGGGAGCATATGATAAGTTTGTGGAGCACCCATGTCTCTGCCACACATGTCAAAATACCCACACTTTCTGTAGGGCTGCTGCCCTGTTGTCCAGACTCTGCATCCTTCTTCTCATCATAGTTTCCCTGGGTCCCAGTTACAAGCCTAGTCTTGCCTTTCCCCGTGATCACAGATAGAAAAGGATTATGCAATGATAGTTCTAGGGCTTAGCATTTTAACCTTTGAGTTAAAACTCACTCTGGTTTTAGGTTTCTGTCTCTTTCTGAAAGTACAGCAGCTCACCTTGTGCCCGTTTCATCTATATTTTATTCCTTGTGCCTGAGTTCCTATTGTAACTGGTAATTTTGAGATTTGATATCTTTGAGACTGATGCAAAGACCTAGTCTAAGTTAGAACTGATATATCTCTGAAAATGTTGGTTGTTAAGAATTAGCTATAGCTATGAGCTATTGGTTCTTTTATTAACTTCTGGATACAAATCTTTTCTTGGTATAAGGGAATTCTTATTTTGACATAAAGGCCTTCTCTCCTGCTGGGCTAGGTCGTGAAAGGGACCAAACTTTTGCCACCCTAAAACTGCCTTTTGAGATATTGATTTTAAGCTGGTTATTAAGAAACAAAAGACTTTGAAAGAAGGTTTGACCTTCTCCTTTTCTTGCCCAAGAGATTCAGATGGAATGACCTGCTCCAGGATGGAAATCTTAGCTTGTTCACCTTAGCCTAATTTGAATTAAGTATGGTAGATTGGAAGGCACCAAGCAGGGAACTGTTCTCTAGAACACACTTTGTGTCCCATTGTTTCTGGGTTGCCTAGCAAAAATTTGCCTGCTACATATGTTCCACTCTTTCTCAACTACCTTAAATTGCCTATTTTCTTTAGAATCTCAGAGCCTTGCCCCACCTTTCTCCTCTGTCCAAAATGATATATGTACCCAATTTTACCTCACTGTTTTTGGAATTTTCATGCTTATGTGAAAATTCCCTGTTCGCATGTATAAGATTTGCAAATGATCCACACTTTTATTGTGGCCTACTAGCGTTGTATAATGTGGCACATCCTACCTCTTTAATTTAATCTCCTATGCTCCAATAAACTGGCCTCCTATACATTCCTCAGACATACCAAGACACTGCAGCACTAGTAATTAAATTTCATGATCCCTACAGTGGCAATCTTGAAAGCATGTATCTCTTTGAAGCCTCCATCAGTCTGGGGACTTCAGTGACTACAGTGAGCAGATTCCATGTGGTGGATGTTGTGCTGAGCTCCCCAGATCCACCCTTTAGGACTGAAGTACAACCTTTCCCAAATGCTGGAAATGTTGGTGGCTCTCAGCTGGGACCCTCTGTGGTTACTCTTGGCTAAAGACAGCCCTCTAGTCCAAGGTCACCTCCCTTCCCTAGATGCAGCCGTATCCAATGACTGATTGATGTGAGGGTATCAAGACTTGGCTCCCGCCTCAATTTAGGACAATGCTGAAGGGCCATCCCTTAGAGCTCTCTTGAGAATTGGTTAAAGCAACTGTGTTGCACTTCATCTTCTTCCTCTGCCTGATCTTGTGACCCTCAGTCTCTAGACAGATTGTTCTTGAGAGTACTACCCAATAACCTCCTGCATGAAAATCTCAGAGTTTCAGGGTTTGTTTCCCAGTGAACCCCACTGTGATAGGCCCTCCACTTGTATTAAACATAACATGTGCACGAAATGAAATAAACCTTTGTTGCAATAAACTGCTGAAATGTTTGCTAAAACCTCGCTATCCTGACTAGTACAGGTACCAAACCTTGCCTGCCCTGCCAATCCTTTGTTCTTACCTGAGATTCTCTTTTATTGTCTGGCTTGTCATAATGGATTCCAAATTCTAGTTCTCTGATGTTCTTTCTCATAATGAGTTAACAGCCATGTCCCACTGGAGCAACAGAAGAAGGAAGAGGTTGCGTATCTAGTTGTCTACTAATTATTCCTACCAGGTCAGTGGCATATATTTTTTTCATGTGAATTTCCTAGGACCCTTTTTTCTTTTCTATACAATTTATCACTTATTTATAATATGTATAAGGGTACTTATTGTTTCTTAGGAAAATTTTTGTGCAAATAAAAACAATCAAGTACTTGATCCCAATTTGAGAATGAAAAACAGTATACTTACCAGTTAATACATTTTGTGTGCCTTAACATACTTAAAATACTATTTTTCTGAGCACTAGATCTTATTTTTTGAAAGTCAAATGATAAAACAATACCAGTTTCTTATTTTAGGCCTCTTGGGCAAAACAAATTATAGTAAAAAAGCTAATGAATCAAAGCATATGCTCCTTTTAATTTTTTTTAAAAAGGGGTTTTACTACATAGAATAATTTCTCTCTGCCTGAAGGGTATACAGTATAAAAATATTTCCATTAAAGAGTCTGAGAATCCTGGGCTGGTATTACCACAACTCGTAATTATAGAAGATATTCAGTATGATAACAGCAACTAGTTTAAGGCATGTGGAGTTTATTTACATCAATTTCAGATAAAAAGATAAAAGGGGACTTGAATAAACTAGCAAAGAGCATGACTTCAGGAGTGTATCTATAAATGTATCTTTGGAACTGCCCTTAGCCAAAATGAAAGACCAGCAAAACCAGCCTTCAGAATAACCCTTCTGCTTAGTAGAAGGGAAAGCTAGACTTCACCTCTAAGATCTCCCTCCCACGCAAATTTTCCACCTTACAGTTAAGAATTAAACCCAGACTTCCTGATCGTGGCTCCACGCACGTCACCTTCTCCCATCTCCCAAAGCAAAATCCCACCCAAGTCGGCCTGATCCCGCAGGGATCTGTAAGGGCTGCAGGGCAGTGTAAGGTGGGAGTGGAATGCCTTCCCCTATCCTGGTTGCTTGGGTGTTTGCAATTCAAAAAACCCCGACTAAACCGATCTTTTCCAGACTCAAGGAAGCTTCCAACAGGACCTTCTGATTTCCTTGTTTGCAAAGACTTGATCCCACTCTTTACCCTGAGGCAGCAACTCCTCATTGCAGTTTTCTTTTCACAAATCCTATAAAAAGCCCTTAAGGCCCCCAACATTTGTGAATAAAGGCCCACCCTCGAAGTGGAAACCGCAAAGCGTAGACAGATATGCACGTCAACAGCAGGACAGTGTATAGAATTTTAGGAGTTTTCTTTCTGGCTTCTCATCCTTTCAAATGTTCACTATTCCTGTCAGCTAAGAAGGGTCACAGGAATGGGTGCTTGAGGAAAGCAAACGCCGATAAGAGCAAAAACATCAATTTAGGGGTGGTCTTTCCAATTCCGGCTTTTGTTTGTCCGCGAGGGGAGGCCGAGGAGGTCAAGGTCTCCGGTTCTGGGAAAGGCGTGTCCGTCTGGATTCTTAGGCTACGGAGAGGCAGGCTCTGGCTCCAAGAAACAATAGAGGCAGTTGGCCCCTCACGGCTTTACTCCCCGTCGCAGAGGAGACCACGACGCCTCGTCAGGGGCTCAATTACCCAGCTCGGAAGAGTATGCCAAATGCAGAAAAATATGTGGCCACTCGCGCGCGCGCGCGCACACACACACACACACACACACACCCCAACCGTGTGCGTATGGAACATATGAGTGCATAGAGAAGAAAGGCCATTTCTGCCCATCCTAACTAAGCTGCCGGCCCCACCCTGCCCTCCCTGGTTCGGGTGAGACACGCCGCGCGAGGGCCGCGGAGTCCGCCCCAGCAAGCCCGGGAGTGAGGGGCAGGGCCGGGCGGGGCCGCGAGTGCGCAGGCGCAGTGTGGGCCTCGTCGCGCCGCCGCCGCCGCCGCCGCCGCGGCCACAGCCGCCCGCGCTGCACCACAGGCCCGAGACAGACAGGGCCGGGAAGAGCCGGAGACTGAGGAGGAGGCGGAGGCGGAGGCGGCGGCGGAGGCGGGGCGACTCCGGTGACCGGGAGCGCCGCAGACTGGCAGCTGCGGCGACTCCCCCCTTTGTGTCTGGTCTGCTCGGAGCCACTGGAAGTGCTTCCCGGAGGGGCGCTGAGTGTCTCGCCACCTCTTAGCCAACCCCCCCCTTCCCAGCCACCTACATCCGCCCTCCCGCCGCCCCCCGCCCTCGGCCCGCGACGCCGGAGCTCCGCCTGGAGCCCAGAGCTGCGGGAGAAAGAGGTAGCGGCGGCGGCGGCGGCGGCTTCTTCGGAGGGCTGTGATTCGCTCACAGGAGCCATTGACGGGAGAAGACGAGGCTTTCATGGTGGAATTTACCTCTGGCGAGATCGAACAGCTGCAATAAAAAAGAGAGAGAGAGAAGCGCACGCGGGAGGGCTAGAAAGAGCAGCCTCCCGGCACCTCCCCTCCGCCCGCTGTCTTGAGCAGCACCGGGCCCAGTCTGCCGACCCCTCTCCTACCCTCCCCCGCTCCCCACCGCCACTCAACCCTCCGGCCCGACCCCGCGGGACCCTCGCAGGATTGTTCCGCGAAGGCGTGAAGGCTGTGGGTTTGTCCATGGAGACAGGCACCCTTTTCGATCCAGTCGAGGAAGAGGATTTGTTGTTCTCTAATTCGGAGTGAAGGAAGCACCGAAGCGAAACTTAAAAAGGAATCCTGCTCTCCCGGAGCCACAGGCGATGAGACTCGGGCCGCCGGGCGCCTTCGCCGCCGCCGCCGCCCGCACGACTTCGCCCTTCCCTAGCAGTCGGGAACTTGTTCTGATCCTCGGCCCCCTAATCGAATCCCCGTTCTCCACCACTGTGCACCCTGGATATGTTTTCTCCCAGACCTGGATATTTCTTTGATATCGTGAAACTACGAGGGAAATAACTGCGAGGCTTTCCTCTTGTCTCCCTGCTGCTTCTCCCCACGGACATGCCTTCAGTTTGGGGGGCCACGGCACCCGGTCCTAGGCGAATGAACTCCCCCAGCCGCGAGGGAGAGAAATGAAGGGAATTTCTGCAGCGGAATGAAAGCTCTGCAGCTAGGTCCTCTCATCTGCCATTTGTCCTTTCAAACTGCATTGTAGTACGGGCCGGGTAAGTCAGACGAGAGAGAAGACTAGCCTCGCGGCCGTGTTTCTCCGCCCGTGTTTACTTTCCATATTTCTTGTCTCTGCTCTCCTGCTTCTTGGCTGGCCCAGGGATGACTTCCTCGCTGCAGCGGCCCTGGCGGGTGCCCTCGCTGCTATGGACCGTTCTGCTGGTCAGCACTGCGGCCGGTGAGTAGTCCCGGCTGGCGGGTCCGGGCCACTTCCCTTGCGGGTGGCGAGGGAGTGAGCCCGCAGAGGCCGAGGCCTGCACTCGCCCTTGGATGCGTCCCCGATCACTGTGGAGGGAACCAGGAACGTGTACCTGCGTTCCTTTCCCGATCCTTCCAGGGAAATAACCTTTCACGTTTTTGTGTAGTTTCGAATCCCCACTTCCATATTCCCCACCTTTCACACCCCCCACAGGGGAAAAAAAGACATATTGGGTGTGGTATCTTGACATTTTTAGCTGTGAGGTAATGCAAGGATTAAAAATATTTTAATCACCACTGAACAGTGACTATTATGGTATCTTTGGAAACATAGGTGTAGATTTTTTTTTTAACATAAAGAAGCGTATTTGGCTTACGGTAAAAAGAACATCAACTATAGAACACACACTTGAACCGTATTTTTAGATTTAGATCACTCCTTGGGAATCCATGTTCCTTTCATTATTCAAAAATGTTAGTGAATGAATTGAATACAATGTTGAGGCAAGAACTGTGAGATTCTTAGAGATTCTTAATACATTGTATAATACTGTTATCAGTAGTATTTCGTAATTATATTTCCATCTTTTCAATCTGGACACTGGTATTTTATATGTTTTTGGAATTACTGTCGTGTTTAAAAGTATTTTCGATCACTTTACATTTAATCGTCTGGCATTTATTGGCTGTCCTGTCATTGAGACAACTTTGACCTCACGTCAGATTTCTAGAAGACCTGAGTCCTGAAAGATCTTTGACATTTTACTGAAGCTTAAAGAGAAATGGTAGTCATCCTTCCCTTAGAATATTTTCTATTTAGTTTTCAGGCACCTTTGCAAAAACCTCATTTTTTTTTGCAATTATTTTTCATGCAGTCTTGTGATGCTATGCTTTTAGAAATTTTTGGGAGTGAATTGTACATATAATTCTTAAATTTGGCTTAATATGACCAAATAGATTATATGTTTAAACACAAGTAAATGACAACATGACAGTTTTTCAATTTTTATTTATGTAAGAGTGTACTTTTCACATTCAATAAGTTTCTCATTGCTGTCCTAAACACAGAAGTTGCTTACTTATTTCCGTTTTAAAAGTCTGCATTGGGAAAATAATGACAAAAATTGAAGTTTCCTTTTGTGTTTTTGATATTTTTGATTGATATCTATTATGTTTATGATAAATCTATATAGTGTTAAAACAATTTGAACTTCTGAATTGAATGAATATACATTTTAATATTCTTAATCATCACAGTTCCTTTTGGGCTAAAAATGAATAATTTTTCACTAATTTCTTTATATTGTGTTAGCTATTTAAATTCTTCAGCCATAAGCCATGTGGTTCCTGTAAAATAAGAAGAGAGTAAAAGACCTTAAGCTTAAGCAGTCATTCTAAGAGGAGAAATCTCAGAGTATAGACTTTTCAGTGTTCTTTATTTTTGACCTTTTTAGAATGTAGGTTCTCATATATAGTTGACAGGCTTATTATTTTGTGATCAGAACAGATAAAAGTAAGAGAAAGAACACTGATTTTAAAATAAACTTAATTTCTATTTGATAAATAAAATATTAGAATACTGTGCCTTAAAAGGGATGGGTTATAAAAGAATCACTGCTTAAAAAGTTTAGTCCTGTTTTTTCTTTAGTATTACATAGCACCAGATGCAGAAATTTGTGAAGCTGGATTTCAGAGCTATAACAACAACAACAACAACAACAACAACAACAATAATAATAGCAGCTAGTATTTATTGAGTGCTTACTATGCGCCAGCAATTATCCCATAGTTATATGTGTGTTCTCGTTTGATCCTGATGACAGTTCTATACTCCAGATTTAATTATGCTCCTTTTACAGAGAGGGCAAGTGAAGTACAGAGAATTTATTTATTTATTTTTATATATTTTTTTGAGAATTTAAATAACTCACCACACAGTCAGTAAATTGTGGAGCCAGGATTATAGCCTGTATCCTTACTACAGCATTAATGATAACAGCAACTTTTCCCTCTAATTGGGAACATGAGATAGAATAGCCTTCACCAGATCAGCCTTTGCAAAGAAGCAGACACTTGACAAGATCTTTGTACCTCACAGGTTATGCAAATGTCATGGTTCTAAATGTGTAAAACTTTGCTTAGCTTAATATTGGAGTGGCTAGTGCAGTTTCATTAAATGCAAGGTGACTAAAGAGTGCCTGTGTAGGTTTGGGATACACAGATGCAGTGATATAACCAAACAGGTGCACATAGTGCCGCTGAAAGGAAAAAAAATACTGGAAGACTGACTGATACCACATCCCTCTTTGGGGTCATGGTTAAATCCTTTATTTCTTTCGAATCTCTCTTTCCCACTTTATCTAGTTCTTGGATGCTTTAATTCTAAGAACAGTTGATATGCAAAAAATTAGAATTTATAAAAATATGTGCTTGTGTTGGTTTATACATGAGTTATTTAATAAAAGGACACAATACAATGCCATACTTATTTAAAGGTCAGCTTCTGTAAAAAAGATTAAAAAAAAAATAAAAGTTGCCAACCTTTATTTAGGTTCTAATGGGTCCACATAACAATATCAACCCTATATCCCACCTCATCCTGTGCAACCCCCTGAGCAGGCTTAGCTACCCTTTACCTCCAGTCTTAGTTCTTGTCCTTCTCCTCCTTGTCCTTCTTGCCATTGTCAGGGCCAGGGAAACTTTCCCCTTACCCCTTTAGTTCTTCTGGCTGGTGGAATAATTCAGGTGACATACAGCAGCAGATTAACAAGAGAAAATCAATTTTTAATATGTGTGCATGGGAAATTTACATAAGCATGCAAATTCCAAAGACAGGCAAAATAAGGTATATGAGGGTGCCAAAAAACTGTATACACATGACTTGTATTTATCTTTTGTTATCGGTATATATTGAGTATTACAAAGTGTTTTCCTTTCTTAAAATGTGTATACAGTTTTTTGGCACCCTCTGTATATATCATTTTGGACTAAGGAGGGGGAGGTAGGCAATTCATAGGTGCTAAGGAGAATATGCTAAGGTTCCGTTCCTAAAGCAGAATTTTCTATCTTAATCTCTTTAGATAGCTAAGGGGGCGGTAACAGACTTCTTGAGTTTGTTGGTCTTTGTTTTCAGCTAGAAATAATTGGCATGCCAGGGTGGCGCATTCTGGGGAGACTCACTCCTGACCTCCACACCATGGCCTGGGAGTCCAGGGAGCCCATGGCATATTGAGTGGCCTCATTGTTGGGATCCACACCTGGAAGGGTCTCCGGGACACTCTATAGGAACTCAGGGTCCTGCATCACATAATCCCCCTTGGCTGGCTCAGATGTATCCATGGCTGAAATGGCATCAATGTCAGCTGCCTCTGCCTGGTCAATGTCCGCGGATTCTTTCTGCATTTGAAAGAATTCACTTGACTAGATTTCAGTTTTACATACACCTATTAGGAACACACACATTCAAAAGCAAGATTCACTTATTTAGTGTTCTTGAGCAGTTAATGAATATTGTTGAGGAACTAGAAATTTAGTAATCTTTATTTTAGTGTTTCTCAAGATGTGGGAACCACAACAGGATCACCGTTAGCTCTTGATAAAAGGCATATTTCTTTTTTTTTTTTTTTTTTTAAAGATTTTTATTGGGGAATTGGGGGGATGGGAACAGTGCTGGGGATTTGGGGAAAGGGGAACAGACAAGTTGCTGTCGTTTTGTTCTTCAATCTAGTTGTGGAGGATGTTGCTTCACTGGCCCAAGTTGGCACCATCATTGCGCTCTTCTCTGGCGAGGCAGATCAGTCGCCGGCTTCTGGACGGCTGCTCACTGCAGCTGCTGGCCGCTCACGCTGGCTGCTGGCCACACACGGTAGCCCATGGCAATCCACTGCCACAGGGACTGCAGCCCACGCCGTCGCCGGCGACTCATGGCAGCCCAGCTCCAGGTTGAGCTGTTGTTCAGCATCTTAGCTGTGGAGGGCAGTGTCACTGTTCCCCTCATGTGGGATCCGAACCGGGGCCCTCTGGCATCCCAAGCGAGTTCTTAACCATCGTGCCACTCGGCCGGCCCATAAAATGCATATTTCTGACCCCACAGTCTAGATGTACTGAATGGATCTCTCTGGGACCTAAATATATTTTTAAAGCCCAAAAGATTCTCACTCAGGCAAATTTGAGAACCACTACTTGAGAATCAGTCTCGATTGTTTGGATTTTTAAAGATTGTGATTCAGTCAGCTTTTGCTGCATAATAGTCGGCAACCATAAAATCATAGTGGCATACAACAATAAGCATTTATTTTGCTCCATTTGTGTCATTCTGAGGCCCAGGCTACAGGGAAGGGTAACATCTCTTTGGGAGAAGCTTGTCTCATGGCAATGGCAGAAGTACAAAAGGATAAGCCCAATCCCACCAGCCATTTCTAGATTCTGGTCCTCTAACATCCCTTTGGCCAAGCCCAAAGACAAGGGGTAGCAGAGTACATTTTGCCTATAATGAGGTCATGTTATTATATGGATGCATGATACTATTGACTGGGAAGGAAGAATTGGGACCTTTAATCTGCCACGTATGATCAGGAAGATAGTCCAGGAGGGGAGCTTCTATTTACCATTTGAACAGAGCCAAATTCTTGATTAGACCTTTGCATAAAAAACATACCAAGTTTGGCCTCTACAAAAGCTATCCTGGCATGTGGGGTAATGGTACCGGTGTTGGGGTATGTGTGAAATGTGGGGGGGGAGAGATATTTATTCCACACAAGGACAACAGCTTTCCTTCATTAAAGGTGAACTTTATTAAGAGTGAAAGAGAAGAAATTGAATATTGCTTTCTGTTGGGTAAATTCTAACTACATGTAAAAAGTACAGAGTGAAGTCAGTTTAAATCAGTTAATTTTATAACTGGCCAAACCTCTTATTTTGGCACTTATTCATATGTTGCCTTGCTATTATATAACAGTTTTATGTATTTTCCTTGTCCTT